GCCGCGGGGCTGGGCCCGGCCGGGCTCTGGCTGCACGCAGGGAGGCAGGTGCTGAGGGCAGGCCGTGGGGAGGGCGGGTGGAGCTGCCTGCAAAGCCCAACTTCTCGGAGAGACTTCAGAGGTTGAGGAAAAAGCCCCCAAAACAACCAACCAAACCCCCAAGGTGTTTCTTCATCTTGGCCTCAGCGGCCTGGATGCACCGAGTCTCCGGAGTGTCCGATCCTCTGTGTTGTGTGTCGTTGCGCTGTCACCGAAGAACAAACGCCGGCCCGTGACCGAAAACCATAGCAAAGGAGGGCTGGAAGGGGCCCGCCGCCGAGGTCGCGCCTAGTCCGACCCCTGCCGCTTAAGCACCTGGTTGTCTTACATAGGCGCCGTGTGCGGCGGAGAAGGGCTGCCAGCGTCGCGTCCGCGATCGATTTGCGAACGCCGAATGGTGGCTTTGGGTTCACGCGTATCGGTGACGGCCATGTGTGATCGGGCTGGTTTAGTGTGTCTTGGATTTGGTAGATGTGCGTAGGACAGGCTGAATCTGTCGCGTGGACGTAAGTCGAGGGCGCTGTTACCTCCGTAGCCTGTTGCACATCTGATGTTGAACCTGTTGCGGGAACGATGGGAGCAGGCTCGGGCGAGGACGTCTGAGGGGTGTTTTGTGAATGGAATCGTGCGTTTCCTCGATCTTTGAAAGCTGTTTCGAAGACTCTTAAAATAAACGGGTAGTAATTTTACTGTTGCTTAAGATATCAATGAGCACAAGAGTAGGAATGGTAATTGACCAAGGGTCTTACACTACACTCATCGGTCTGTACAGGTCCATGTGTCTGTGCAGAGTCTGCTTAAGGCAGGGGTGGGCAAAATACGGCCCGTGGGTTGGATGCGGCCTGCCAGGCCATTCCATCTGGCCCGCGGGGCCCCTAAAAAATGTATAAAATTAATATATATCTGCCCCTGGCTGCCTGTCACGCGGCCCTAGATGGCTCGTCAAAACTCAGTAAGCGGCCCTCCACGCGAAATGATTGCCCGCCCCTGACGTAAGGCAACCTGACTCCATTCCTTGCGTGAAGCTCCCTGTATGCACAAACTTCTAGGATTCAAAAGTGGAGCTGTTATAGTGTAATTCTTCCAGTTGAACATGTAAAGGCCACGAACAGAAAATCTGTTGATTGCTATCGTAAAACGCTGTAAAATGATTTTGCCTGTTTTGAGATCTTTTCTATGCAGTGAGCATCTGAGTCCTTGTCACACTGACAGGTTCAAGAAGTTTGAGGCAGTTCTTTAATTTTTCCCTCAAAATAGCAGGTAATGAGGAGCTTGCACTTGTTTTACACACAATGATATTGAATATATTGTCATCACAAGGCCTAGAGGCCTTAACCAAGATGGAGACTCTTTTGTTACCAAATACTATACAAGCACATAATGGGAGTCAGTCTCTCCAGCTTAAACAAGGGGCAGGGGGAATAAACAGACATTATTTCAATTTGTGCATAAAATAGGTCTTTTCAGAGCACTAGGTTCAGGGTCTCATTTACATACTTGGAGTTAAACATTTGGAATATCAATGGAATCATAGAAAGATGGGGATGGAAAGGCCCTCAAGAGATCATCTAATCCAAGCCTCTGTTCAAGGCTGGGCTATTCCTTTCTAAACGATCACAGTCAGATGTTTGTCTAGCCTTCATTTAGGAGATTCCAGTGACAGGTTCTGCAACTGTTGGGTAATTTGTTCCAGCACTGAATAGGTAGAAGTTTTTTAATATCTAACCTATATCTTGTTGCAGTTACAGGTGTCATCCTCACTTCTGTCATGGTCCAGGCCCACAGCAAAAACTCATGAGAATGAGTAGGTTTTGTTGAGTACCGTAAATATTAAAGCTTATCTTTCTCCGGGGGGTGAGAGAACATTTTCTCAGTAGAATTTTTGCCTCTTAAAAGAAGAGTCCAGCTTGAATACCTCTGCACATTATAACTGGGAGTATTGCATTTGGGGAAAGGCATGTCTCCAGCCACTTTGAATTTGATTGATGCCTTCAATTATACCCCAAAAAGCAATGGTCAGCCATGCTAAATATTTAATAGTAGTGGAGATCACCAGGCACGTGTCCTTCGTGCTTGGGACAAGAGAACCTTTTCAAAATTCTGTACTAGTCCCTGCTTTTTGAGAGGACTTGAAACATGAACACATTTGCAGCTGTGTTGTTGCGTGATGCATCATTTTGGCTGACTTGGTACATTTTGGATCAGCTGGATTTAGTAGATGTGCATAGGATAAGATGGATCTGTTCCTAAGTTCCATTTTAAGTTCAGTGAGAAATACTAGTTTTAAATGTAAACACATTCCTCTTCGGGCTCCCCCTTGTGCTCTGCCCCAGGTCCCTCTTGGAAAAGATTACAGAACACTTGTTCTAGCTGCTCTGGAAAGTTGAAAGTCTCAGTCGATCCTGCTGGGTTTAGACTCATATTTCTTGGGGTGCCTAGCCATTTCGGATGCTATAGTCCAGCCAGCTGTTGGATGACCAGTATCAAACATGGTGCTTAGACCTGCCTCGTCTCTCTTGGTTTTAAAAATAGTGTTTTGCCCTGAGGGATGCCATAAGTATACTTCAGGGTGTGTGGAGTTAGGGAGTATTCCAGCCATGTAGGTCCTCCAGTGGGTACAACCCAGTCATTGCTTCTATAATTAAAAGCTTCCTTTTCAGACTCTGTAAACTAGGGAGTATATGCAAGGTGCTTGATAAACTGTCCTGGTAGTACTCGCAAACATCTCGTTTTTCTTGTGCGCGCAAAGAGTAAACAAAATCTGAGCAAGATGTTAACATCAAACAAAGGTAAAATTGTATAGTGGGTGGCAGCTCCGTTTAATTTGTTACGGCTTTTGGTCATTTGCAAAAAAAAAATTGTTAGAATGTGTTGCAGCAGCTAAGAAGCACTGAAGCTGTGATGCTTGGAATGACGCTGATACCACGATATATAGTTTTGGTGTGCTGTTCTGAGTACTTACTTTTTTTGGGGAAGGGGCTATTTGTCTTATTGCAAGCACACTTGACAAATAACTCTACAGAACAGTGTTTGGATGGTTTAGTTTCTCTTTAACTACTTTAAAGCATTTTTTTTTTTATTTTTTTTTTCAAAGCACCTGAAAACTGAGCCCTTCTTTTAGGGGAATTAAACCAATCTTGCAAACACAACCTGTAGTGTTAAAGCCAATAATCTGGTTTGTACATCTTCTGTGCTCCTGAGCTAGTTCTTTGCACCGCATGCTTTGGGAACACTGACTGAAGGGATCTTGTGCAGTTCATATTGCATTAGGCAAGTTTAGATATGTAAACTAACTACACATTATCTTAATTTTTTTTGGAAATTTGCCTTTTAAATTAGTCTGAGACTGTCCTTTGGGATATCCATTTTCTGGTGATAAAAGCTAAGGTGAATTCATAGTGATATTGTCATAATTCCACATGACATTTCTTACTCTCTTCTAATTTACTAATCTGTGGCAATCTTTCTCCAATACATTAGAATAATTCAAGCATGACTCCGCTATTTGTAATAGAAATCTGCTATCAGTGTGCTTCTCAGTTTCCAGAAGGAAAACAAAATAAAAACACACTGTAAGTATATTGGATTTTATGTCTATTTTTAGCAGATAGTACAGTACTTGCACAGAGGAATGACTCCTTTTGGGAGAGAAGTATTGCTGCCCTATTAAGTTTCTTCTTGTACTGTTGTCAGCTATGCTTTCTGCCCATTTGCTTTGCTCTGTAAAGGACAGCTGATTAATTCTTTACCCTTACACTTCAGGGATGAGCACACAACACTCCTGTGGGGGCAGCTGAACATGTTACAAGGATTGACTGTGCAGCATAGCAGTCCAGATCAGGTCTGGCTGAATAGAGAGCCTTCATGAGCAAGCATCTAAACATTGGGGTCCGGGCCCCCACTCTAGTGTCTGCTCCATGCACGTGTGAACCGAAAAACCAAAACAGTTTCTTATTCACTCATTAACTAAATTTTCCAGAGAATAGGCTTTTTCTACTATGATTGTGTATTGTGGTTGTGTTATTCAAATTGATTGGAAAACTATTAGAATGGGTTTTGTTGGGTCTTAGATCATTTGCTGGAGTTCTGGCATTTTTACTGGACATCCCTCACCTTGTAGTATTTTTTGCAAGCACTAATTTTGGAATGCTCACGCAAGCAAGCTGTTTAAATTATGAAGTGTCTGTATTGACTTTGTGAAAGCTGAGTTTAGGTCTCTGTTCTAAGTCCTGGATTTTACCCCTACTGACCCTATGGCAAATTGGTTTGCTTAAAATAATAATTAAAACCCCCTCCTTAATCCTCTTCACTTTTCCCTTAAAGTGCTGCATGGGCAATTGAATCAAAACTGTTTGTGGGTGCATGGCTTCATGATTTCTTGCAATGCGTGTTCTCAAAAAAGGCCAAACCGGGCATTGTCTTGTAGCTACGGTTCCAATAGCTGCAGGAACAGAGCAGTTCTAAATCAAAGGGCACACTACCATAGGAAAAAATATATAGGAATCTTATTGGATTGGGGCCAGACAGTAGAAAAAATAAGCTTCATTAGAAGAAGTTTTAGTAGAGGAGGAGCATGGAATGAGGACTGTGGAGGGAAATAGTGTAATAGCTGGTTGAATGAGGAAGAGACGACAATCTCCATTTTTCCCATGGCTTCATGCAAGGGTTCCTGGTTCTGGGTGGAGGGATGTTAGGACCAGGAATTGCTAAGTCTCAAGGAGCATTTTCTTTTTTCTTGTTTTTCTTTTCAACCTTGAGACACTTTTTCAATGGAAAAAAATCTGGAGCCTAAAATTTCACATAGACTTCTTCTTCATAAAGCCTAAGTACATGAAAACATGGAAATGCTGATAATGTTCTCAAACAACCTAAGGCTTTTTTTCCTCCCAGTTGTAGAGACATCCAAGCTTGGCCTTAACCCAAGGACAAAGTCAGTTGTCTGGAAATTGATAGATCCCACTAAACTGAAGTGCCTCTATCACTTTTCAATCTAGAAGTGCTCAATCCAAGCTGGAGAAGTGATTGGCTTTTTCTTTCACTAAAATGTCAGTATAAACTAATATTAGTGGGTTATAAGGATGCATTATTTGAAGGGAAGTGCATTACAGTCCAGTAAATACTGGTGGAACCTAGCAGTGGTGTTGATGCATAAGCACTCAGCAAAGGTTGGTGGTGAGCACATGCATGGGAAATCAGCCTGATGCAAGAGCCACAGACACGGTTGCATACGGAGTGGGTAAAAGTGTCTGTAACCATCACAGGCGGTTGAGCTCTTCCTTTGTGTTCTCAGGTTTGCCCCAGAAGCTCTTCATATGTTTGTTTTCTGAATGCACTGTGGCAAACTTTATGCAACTTTACAAACACCTTGTTTTGTCACGGGCTGTTTTGTCTCCGTTTTTGGTTGACCCATTTTCCATCCATTATGTAAGCTTCTCTTGAATTTCTTAAGCTAAAGAAGCTAAGCATCAACCTAGCTTTGCTCTGTAAATGGTGACTGCTTGAGATTTAAACAAAATTTTGGTTAATAGGGTGTAGTAAAGAACCCTCCCCTCCCCTGAAATTTCCATGTCCCTGTGCCTGGTGTTTGCCTGTAAGGTTAACTATCTTGTAAAGCTTTTTATAACTTCAAAAGCTGTAATTAAGTCTGAATTATGCCTGGCTTCTCTGAGGGAGGCAGTTGTGTCAGAAGTGGAACAGTGCTTCTGATAATTTGCATATTGGGTCAGTCCTACTTGCTGATGTTGGATTGCAGCTTCCTTGAAAATGTGCTTTGTGTGCCAGACAAAGCAAATGGCTGAAAGCTCTCCCTTAAATGCGTAGATAGTTGGGGAGGAGGTTCTGCCAGGCCTATAATGAGGCACTCTGGGGCATTAGGCACACAATCACCAATGTCTCCATGGCCTGTTTCAATTCTGTGGATGTAAGTGCTTGCTCATGGCCTTGCTCTGGAGTTGGAGTTGGGGGCAAGTGTTACCCACATGAACTGATTTCTAAGTTGGCTTCCAGTGCTGTCTTGCAGGAGGAAGAACTCTGGATCTTCAACCCAAACAGGATGCAGCGGGCTGTGCTACCCCTGCAAACGGTCAAGGTGGCATCACATTTTTTGCAGACGTCTGGTGGGGCATTTATTAGTGGGGCTTGCATATTTTTTGAGGCTTTAGAGAGAGTGGTTTCTAGGATCCCTTGTGCAAAGAACTGGGTACTTCTCTTGTTGGGGAAGAGTGAC